TCAACTAGTAGAATTAAAAAACTGGGGTAAAATTCTGAGAAAGAAAGCAAGCGAAGAAGAGAGTAAAAAGAAGGAGAAAAAAATTCGGGAAAAAATAAAACTGAGATTCGGTATGATGGAAAAAAACAAAAAGAGAATACTCCAAAGCCTTCTAAATAGACTGTATAATAAGATTACAATCGATAGAGTACTGGTGGGAGAAAATTTTAAAGTCCATAATCTAGAATTAATTAATAATAAAGAAGGTGTAAAACGACAAGTTATCTCCCATTTTGAAAAACAATTTAAAAGAAGAAACCAGAAATTTAAAGAGATAAAAGCGGAGTGGAAGGAAGAATATAAGCCAAAAAAAGAAATTGACCCTGGAGTATATACAGAGATTACAGCTCCTTTCATATTAGAAGAATAGATACTAGCATTGAGTAAAACTAGAAATGATACAGCACCTGAGATCTCGAATATTGAATATATTCTTTTTAAAAAACTATCACCCAAAGTGATTAAGAGAATTTTAAAGTTGATGAATACAATTCTCAAACAAAGCATAATCCCAGACAAGTAAAAACTCAGGCAAATATATTTAATTCAAAAAAATAGCTCCTGGAAATACAATTTGAGCAACACGAGACCTATAGTGTTATTAGAAACATGTAAAAAAATTCTAACACAAATGCTTTAGCTGAGGTTGGATAAAGTTTTAAGCAAAAATATTATATTGAAGGGAGCAAACTTCGCAGGCCTGTCTGGAGAAAGTACATCAACCTCTATACATGTAATGAACAATATAATAGAAGAAGCTATAGAAAAGAAAAAAGAGCTTTGGGTTACGTTTCAAGATATAAAAAAAGCCTTTGATTCAGTTAGTATGGTCTTATTAAAGAAAGCCTTAGAAAGAATTAAAATGCTAGCAAAAATAATTGAAATAATATCAGAGTTATATGAGAATAGGCAGCTTTGCATTATGACAGAGTTTGGAAATACAGATTTCATAAAAGCAGGGAATGTTATAAATCAAGGGAAGGTACTTTCCTTTTTGGTTTGGAGAATTTTTTACGATTCTTTATTATGTAGAGTACAAAGAGCCAAACTTGGTTATGAAATGCAAAACATAGAACCCTTTATGAAATCAGGAGACAATAATATTAGAGTTGGTGTATTGGCGTATGCAGATGACACAACCTGGTTAACAGACAGTCAAGAAAATATGCAGAGTACAATTGACATCACACAAGAATTTTACAAGCTAAATAATATTGAAATAAACTCTAACAAAACTGAACTCGTAGTGCTGAAATCGGGTAAAAGAAATCATTTAAAAAATCTTTCAATCTGGATAGGAAATCCAAGGACCAAAATTATAGCGAAAAATCCCAAAGAAACTACAAGATTTTTAGGGGTCTGGATATCAATCAAAAATCAGAAGAGGTCAGATGTTTTCAAGGCAAGAAACATAGTAGGCAAGATCCCAGGCCTACTAAAACATAAACAAATATCTCTTAGTCAGATTATATATATGAACAATGCAATTCTAATACCCACCCTGAAGTATAGACTAATGGTGTTATGCTTGACCAAGGCACAATGTGAGAAAATACATCAGCCAATGATTCATCTAATCAAATAGAAAATGTCGATGCCTTCCACAACAGCCAATATAATAACAAAATAACAGCCCTCAAAAGTCTTTGGAATAGACATATGGAGCATTATATATTAGAGTTGCTAGTCAGACTAAATACACCAGGTCTTTTAGAAGAATCGACAACAAGAGGGCTCAAGCAAGGTCAGCTAAGAGCAGGTTCAACAAAGTGTATCTTAACAAATCAAACTATACTAAAAAAGAGAGAAATGAAAGGTTGTAATTTGGAGATAAATATTCTGCATCAAGTACATACTTTGGGTTTTGTTATAGAAGAAAATGAGATTACAAAAAACTGGAATTTAGATCTTATACAAACAGCGAATAATGAAGAGATTGCATATGTCCTCGAATGCTTGAATATGGCTTATATGGAGACAAAAGCAAGTGGCCTGGGCCTAATAGTAGTATCACAACTTATTGCAAAAGATAGTAAAACAATGCATACATGGAATCAATTTAGATTAGCACGTGATATAAGTTTAAAAGAGAAAAAACCAGGCTGGTTTACTAAATTAGAAAAAGAGATTCTAGAAGACCCCAGTTTAAGAAAAGTCAAAAACAGATACAAATGTGAAACAAACAATAATAATGCTCCTAATTTTGAGATAAAAGAAGTTAGCAATGACAAAAGAGTAAGAGAATAGGTTTGTTAGAGAGAGGATACAAACGAACCTATTTATACAGGGAAAATCAAAGAAAAAGAAAATGTATATCTAGGGATCCAAACTATAATCCGGGTAACCATGTACCCGATTACCCGACCCGTGAAATTTATCAACCGGATCTTTTTTTTAACAAACTGGTTTAAAATAATAGATGGGTCACCCACTGAAAAGTGTGTGACCCGTCTTGCAGCAGGTGACCCACTTTGTAGCAGGTGACCCGGTTGATAAGTAGATGATCGATCAACTGATTTATATTATCAACCAGTTATCAACTGGTTCAAAAAATAAAGTTTAAAAATAAAATTGCAGAAATGTTTAAAGTTAAATAGTAATCAGAAAAGTAGAAAATTCGTCACGTATTTTTCTTTGTCGTGATAAAAGTTTTGTAAGAACCCCTTACTTTTTAATATATAAATTTAGATTTTTTTTTTTTGAACTGAATTTTTTAAAAAATCGATTTCTTTTTCGCTATAAAGGAAATTATAGAACTTTTTGAACAGACAGTTATGAGTTTTTTTTATTTTATAAACATTTTTGCTTACCATTGTTAACTGGATTATAACCCAAGCATTATTATAAAAATAGCTACGTTGTCCACCTGTAGCTCAAAAAAAAAAAAGGGCTACCCTTAAAGTTTTGCCAAATTAAATAACTATTATAAGTGTAAGGAAGGTTTAACATACCTTATACTATAGCCGCCATTTAACAGGTAAATCTTTCAAATTAACATAGTGTGTATAAAAAGATTACTAATGAATATGATAAAAATAATTATAGATAAATCTATCCAAATGAGCTCTTCAGTATCCAACTATATGTTAGATGATGATGATACATATTCTGTGCGTGAGGAACCCGATGAATCACTTATATGTAAAACAAAAAAGAGAAAGAATCGTGAAAATCATAGTATTATTTTGAAACTGAAACAATGGAAAAAGGTGACTTTGATATAAAATATAGATGTTAAGTATGCACATGACTCTTCAACAGAAAACATGCTTGGCCATCTTTGGTCTAAGCATCGAATCGATAAAGACCACTCTGAAAAAACAACTACTGATAGTCCAATTATAAAAGCCATGCATGTCATCAATAAACGAAGACAAGAAAAAATAGTACAACTGTTGGTTGAATTTATTATTGACGATTGCCAACCTCTTCATATTTTACGTAATCAAGATTTTTGTCGACTTTTAAACTATATGGAAATGGGGTTTCGTATTTCTTGTGAACAACAGTAAAAAAAATAATTAATAAAGCTTACGATTGGAGTCGTGATTAATTATTTGGTATGATGAATATCAGTGGTGGATTTGTCAATTTAACAACAGATATGTGGAGTTCAAGAACAAACCAGGAGTATATTGGAGTAATGGCAACATGGATTGATTCAAACTTTGAATTAAAAGAGGCTTTATTAGCAATCCGACTACTTCTATCGCCACATATAGCTGAAGCTATTAAAGAATTTCTTGACTAGGTTATCACAGATTGGGGACTTACTGGACGAGTTTTCTGTATTACAACCGACAATGGAGCTAATATTAAAAAGGCAATTAGTTTAATTGATAATATTACATGATTATCTTGTTTAGCACACACCCTTCAACTTAGTATACTAAAAGGTCTTAAACCGGCAATACAGTTAATTAAAAGAGCAAAGAATTTAATTCTTTTTTTTCCTCAAAGTCCTAAACAGTCTAAATGACTTTTAGATACACAAGAGAAATGTAGATATTCAAAAATTTATCAAACAATTGATAATGTACCGACAAGATGGAAATCTTCATATTTGGCCTGAATTCGACCTAAAGAGTTATGAAAAGCGATCGATTATCCTGTTTTAATGCTGTCTTCAGAATCAGAACAATGTGATAGACTTGATGGCGAATATTTGAAATTAATCACCCTACTGAAAATGAATAGCAATTGTTAGACGGTCTAATCTCACTATTAAAACTATTTTATGAAGCCACCAACATATTTTCTGGTTCAAGTTATTCTTCGCTCAATTTCGTTTATCCAACAATGAAATTACTGATTAACGGGTTTGCACTTTTTTATGAAACTGAAGATGATTACGCTGAATTATTATTTGGACCTGTCGGGCATGTTAAAAAAAATTTATTATTGACTAAATTTTAGAATAAATATTATTTAGCAAATTTAAAATTTCAAAGTCTTTTTTTTTTTTTTTTTTTTAATATTAAGGTGATCACTTAGGCTCTTGGCACTTTATTAATACAAGCGGTAGGCCAATGTTAATTTTAGCACCGGCTTTACATATTTTATCAGTATCATGA